ATATTCTGTGCAGTTTAACAGACATTTATTCTTTTGCAATGTACAGCAAAATCTCTTTCCAACAGAAGTACTACCGCAATGTAGTGCACAATAAACACCTCATTCAGCAATTTATGATGAAATGTAATTATTATTATTATCATCATTATTAGAGACAGAGCCTCAAGCTATCACTGTGGGTAGAATGTTCACAGCAAACTCCAACTCCTGGGCTTAAGCAATTCTCTTGCCTCAGCCTTCCAAGTAGCTAAGATTACAGGCACCTGCCACAACGCCCAGCTCTTTTTTTGGGTGTAGTTGTCGTTGTTTGGCAGGCCGGGGCTGGATTTGAACCAGCCAACTTCAGTAGGTGGCTGGTTCCTTAGCCACTTGAGCTATAGGCACTGAGCCTGGTGATTTTCTTAATATAGATTTTTCAAATCTCTCATGAAAATCACGCCTAGATATTTTAGTTTCTATTGCTATTTTACATGAGGTTTTTATATAGCCACCTTATGTACTGTCTCTGTTTCTCACAGCTTTTGAAGGAATCCACGCTTTGTCTAGTTGTATAATCTAAAAATAATGGCTATTTATTTTCTCTTGTGCTTATAGCTAATTTCTTTTTCTTGCTTTGTTGCATTGGCCAGAATATGCAGACAGTGTTGAATATTAGTGGTGATATCCAGCATCCTTACTGGTTCTTTCCTTTTATAGAGGAAATGTTTCTGATGTAATAAAATGGACAAAGTTCTTTCCTAATCTTGACATAGCAATATATATTTTTTAAAGTCAGGAATGGGTATTGAATTTTATTAAATGCTTGTTCAATATCTTCTAAAGGGCATTTTCTTTTTTAATCTGTTGACATGTAGTGAATTTCACATATATATTATAATCCAATTAGACATTTTCTAATTGGATATGGATTTCCTATTTTGGATTATACTGCTTGATATGATTTGTTAAAATGTACTTAATATTTTTGCATTTATTCAACCAATGCCATTGGCCTTTGGTGGTGTACATGTAGGTATACAGTATCCTATAGAAAAGAATAGCTTTTGCCATTGCCCAAATCTTTGACAGTTTTTACCTCAGAAATATTTTTAAAAACATATACTTTACATATACTTTTTCCCTATAGTTTTCATAATATATCTCTGTCTCCTATTCTGTTTGCAAAAACTCCTGACATCTAAATGGTACTAATCAAAATAACATTAAGGCCATTTATAACAACTAGTACTACTAAAACTGAAAAACAAACTAAGCCTTCCAAATAGAAACTCATTCTCGGCCTTTCAGAAAGCATCTAGTAAAAATTCTCAGTATCAGGCAGCACCTATGGCTCAAAGGAGTAAGGCGTAGGCCCCATATGCCAGAGGTGGCGGGTTCAAACCCAGTCCTGGCCAAAAACTGCAAAAAAAAAACCAATTCTCAGTACCAGAATGTTTCACAAATATCTTTTATAAGTCAAGTTAAGAGGAGACAGTAGATAGACTCTTTTCATAAAAAGAAAATCATAAAAATCAGTTTCTTGTTATAGAACAAAAGGCAATATGCTAACCAATGTTAGATATTACATTTGTGAAATAATTTTCTATATCCATTTTATTGTTTTAGTAGTATTTACTAAAGTACATTAAAATGGGATCATTAGAGGAAAAAAATCTAAAATACAACTTTGGATCTCTGAACAAACACAATACATTATTTTGCCAGAGTTTATATTGCTTTTTAAAAAATTTTTTTATTAAAATTTTACATACATTCAGAAAAGTGTACAGATCAGAAGTATATAGCTTTGTGAATGTTCACAACTTGAACATACCCATGTGACTAGTAGCCATATTGAGAAACAGAGCATTTCCAATACCTTGTAAGACCCCATGTCATCCTACACTCCTTTCCAAAAGTAACCACTATCCTGACTTCTAATAGTATCAATTAGTTTTGCATATTTTTTTCTTAATTAAAGAGATCATTCCTGTGGCTGGCTTTTTTGCTTAACTTTAAGTTTGTGAAATTCATCTGTTCTACTTTATTTGTGTGGTTTTCAGTTGGGGTTATATATAATACAGTACTAAAATGCGGAATCTTATACATATATCTTTTTGTGAATGCGTGACTTTCTAACATGTTAATTAGTCTCTGACCTTTAGTCAGTTAATAATTAAAACAGTTTTATTAATTCTGATCCCTTATGCTTCTCAAGTTAATGACAGTTGTGATGAATTTTGTTTTAGCAGGACAGTTAAATTACTGATAGATTGATCACCTTTAGCCTGTGGAGGATTGATTTTATGCATTGTGAGGATGCTTCTGTTTCAATTTTACCCTTAATCTTAGTCCTGGAACATAATGTTAAAAAAATCAAAAGAGGTGGCCTTTCTGAGGTTTCAGTAGAAAGCACAAGGTGTTTACCACGTTCTCTCTTCAGTCTTAGTCTTTCTTCTCTGTAGCAGACAGCTGCTGAAGTCTCTGCTCAGTTCTTTCAGCCTGCCCAGCTGTTGGTTTAGCAGGGGTCCTCAAACTTTTTAAACAGGGGGCCAGTTCACTGTCCCTCAGACCGTTGGAGGGCCAGACTGCAGGCCCCAGGATGAGTCGGCTACTAAGCAGGACAGGCAGCGGCGGCAAAAACACCCAGCAGGCTGGATAAATGTCCTAGGTGGGCTGCATGTGGCCCACGGGGACACATGAGGATGCCTGGTTTATAGCCTGCTCATTCATGGTCACTTCAGAAGCCTTCTCCTCTGAAGTAGATTCCTCCTTTTCACTGTTTCCCCCCTAAATTTCCAGTTGCTCTGGTAATCCTAAACTCCATCTCCAGACTCCTTGTGCTAATAAGACTCTGGTTTTCTGCTTGAGTTTTCCATGATCCCAGCTATCTGGATTAGACAATATCTTTAAAGGAAACGCCATAATCCAGTGCAGTTCCTCTTTTTTAAAGACTGAATTCTCTATAGTTTCTTTCCTGCTTTCGTTTCCAAAACAGAAAATTTTTTCTTTTGTTCAGAATTGACAATTGTTAGGTAAATTTGATACACTACTCTGCCATTACCTAAATTGGAATTTCAGTAATTGAGCCATAAAATCTAAAAATAAAAGCACAAATTATCATATTTAGTGTAGATTGAAAAAATTATATACAGTTTAGGTTCTGAAAGACATCATTAAAAAGGTTGGTACTCAAGGTGAACTAAGAGGGATGGTTGGGATGAACTTCCATATGAAGAGATAGTGGGAGAGTATTCCAAGTAGAAAGAACAAATTGAACTGATGGGAAAGTACAGGCTGTGTTTACAGGAACAGTTGGCAATCTGATTTGACTAGTTGGTTACTTCTTAGGGAAGTAATTAAAAAGAAGGCTAGAAAGTAGTTTTGTCCCTATTATAGAAGTGCTTAAATGCCAGGTTAGGAGATTAAAGCTAATGTGGTAGACGGTAGAAACTATTTGAAGGGGTTTTTGTTTGTTTGTTTGAGCTCGGCAGTGTATTTGAGAGTTGAATGATCTGAGGCTGGTGGATTGCTTAAGCTTAGAAATTTGAGACCAGCCTAAGCAAAAATGAGACCCCGTCTTTACTAAAAATAGAAAAAAACTAGCAGGGCGTTGTGGCAGTCACCTTTAATCCCAGCTACTTGGGAGGCAAAAGTGTCAATTGAGCCCAAGAGTTTGAGATTGCTGTGAGCTGCTACACAGTGGCACTCTATCCAGGGTGACAGAGTGAGATTCTGTCTTAGGAAAAAAAAAAGCATGATTATGAAAGGTGGATTGGCCAAGAAAGGAAGCAGAAAAGTTAGGAAAATTTTATGGTAGTTCAGAGGAGAATTATAAAGGGTATAAATTGGGGGTGGCGACATACCTAGAAAAGAACTGCAAGATGTAGGAAAGGAAGGAGAAGAAGAATGGGAAGGGTGGAAACCGAGGGGCTGGTAATGGCTTTTTGATGCAAGTTGCTGCTATTTAACTAACATGTGTATTTCTTCATAAATAGAGTAAGGACAGTTACAAAGACTATACCACTTGTACTGGAAATAGAGCTCTGGTCTCCTGAGTGTTTCTTACAATTGTATTCTCAACTAAGCCAATGTGCCTGTCACTACTCATCAAATTACTAGATCATATTTATGTTGACACTTCTGTTCTCAGTATAGTTTAACTATCAACTGCGAAATCATGTGTGTTTTGAAAAGGAGGAACCAATACAAAGTAATCATTTGTTATTAGCACTAATATAGGCAGCCATGTGAAGCTCTTTTGCGTATGGGGAATGTGAGGTGTTATGGTAAGAACACGAATGATGATAGGCATACCAAAGGAATCCCAGAATAGAAACCATGGCCTATGGACCAGAATTTCAGCAGCAGTAATTTGTGGGTCTTCACATCAGTGAGAGCTACCGTGTATATCTCGTATCTTTCTACTATCCAAATTACTTCTTAAATCTTCCTTTCTATATTTTCTACTCTAAACAGTGGTTCACAGAATGCTATATTTTACCTCTTGAGAGAGGCACAATACCCTTTTGTAGCAGTGTTCTACCTTTTTATAAATATAAAAATAAAAGTAACATTTCTGAAATGGTATTTTGTATAGCACCTATGTAGATTTGTAAATACTAATACTGTCCTAAAATGAAGGATTTAATTGGGTGTCAGATCCTGTACATTTGGGGGGGGGGTAATAATAGCACTGACAATTGTACTCATCAGTAATCTTGATACTGATTTTAAGGTCAGTTTAAGAAGCATCTTTGGTTTCTTAGTTGAACTGTAGTTCTTTTTAAGAATTCAATAAAATGGTTTTATTAAAGATTAGTTGAATGTCTTTGCAATTATGTTATTATAAAATATATTAAAAATTTCCCAAATCTAACACAGAAAAATATATTCAAATTAACAGTTTTAAAGAGATGATTAGGTATAAAATAATTCCATTAATAGTATATTTGATATTATAGTGATTATTTTATAAACATTTTATTTTAAATTAAATATTGATTTTTGTCTTTTCCTAGCCAAAGCTTAATTTAAATCCTGTGAAAAAAATTGTTTCTTACAGGGCTGATCCTTTGTCCAACATGGTTCTAACCTTCAGTACGAAAGAAGATGCAGTTTACTTTGCGGAAAAAAATGGTATGTTTGGTCTGTTTTTGTATTTTACGAATAGACACAGGATATAATTTTATATTCCTCACCTTAAAACACTTGAGGGTATAGAATTGGGTTGAAAGAAATATTTAACATATGTAATTCAGTGATTTTTTTTACATTTTTTTCTATATCAAATACTCTTCCCCCTCCCCCCCCAAAACTGGAAAATGTAAAAGGACAAACTGCTCTGATTTGAAACAGGGCAGAGAATAAAACTACTTGGCTAACATCTACCTTACTTATGAATTGCTCTGCAAAATTGCTAACATTTGGTTATTTTAACTTCAGTTTAACATAGAAGGCAGCCTAAGCTACTTTTAACACTAGTGTTTATTATTAAATTCTTTCTTTGAGCCAAATCTAATGCCTATTATTCCCTCTAATAAGTCTTCAGTTACTTGAAATTAGCTATCATTATCATATTCTCTGTGAAATTTCCTTTAAGCCCAATGTGTACATTTGCCACTATTCTAGATATGGTGGGCCTAGCACCAAGAATAATCTCAACTGAACAATTTTATATTAATGCAGCCTAAGAGTATATTAGCTATTGTAGCAACCACCTGACACCATTGGTTTATGTTATTCTTGCTAGCAACAAAAATGCAAAATATCTCTCTTTTCTTCAACTTCTGCTGTTAAAACGGTGTAATGAAAGGAGGCTTTGAACAGTCAGGATTCTAATCTTTGTTATGCCACTTGGAAGCTATATGATTTTGGATTAATTTCATAATGGACTTAATGTTTCTCCATAGTTGAAATTAAGGATTCTTATCTCCTGAAGTGGGTGATATCTGATACATAATAAACAGTAACTGTTAGTTCTGACCCTTAGCTCCTGCCAGCTGTTGATTCTGCTGTTTGCCTCCCTTACATTTAAATTCTCTACTGTACTTTTCTTGTTTTACTTGATCAAATTGAATTTGAATCTAAATTGAGCTTTAGTTCAAATGAGATGTTTGTTTTAGGGCATAGTTACTATAAGGCAGCATATATAAATGTAAAAATTTATTAGTGTTGTATACCATACATGACATATAAATGTGAAGGCACCATAGAGGTTATTATTATCAAACATATTTGCTTTTCTTCCCAGCTTAGTGTTGTATAGTTTATGATTAAAAGTCTAAAGCCAAACTAGCTGGGTTTGAATCCTTGCTAGGTCACTTACTACCTATATGACTTTGTACTTCTATTTCCTTGTGTGCAGTGGGACTTGATGTGAGGATTAAATGAGTTAATAAAAATAAAGTGCTTAGAAAAGTCTAACACATAGTAGTATACATAAGATAAGAATATCTTATAAGTTATTAGTAATAGCCTTCTAAAAACTTTGAAGAAAGATTTCATAATTCCTTACTAATACTTTCTTGGCAAGTTTCTAATTTCTTAATTGTGTTCAGAGTAACCTTTTGAAATATTATTTTGATTTAAAGTAACATTGCTCTTTTTAATTATGTAACATAGTTACCAAAAACAGTTTTTCATCTTTTCAGCCTACCATATTTCACGTCTGACACCTTGAAAATTATTCATTTGAGGTCTGTAACATGAGTTTAATAACAGGAAATCTAATTAAACTGTTAAATCCCTGGTTAGTCTCTAAGTGGTCACAAGGAACTGCAGGACTACAGTTGCCATGTGAATTGCAGGTGTGAACTTCACCACTGCTGCTATTGAGATCAGGTGCCTTTCAGTCTGATTGCTTCCTCTCCGGAAAGAGAATTGAGGAACACTATCAGTGTTACGAGAAAGTATAACTTGAAAAAGCTTAGTGCGTAGTCACTTACAAACTGCAGGTCGATAGTTAATCGGGAATTTAACATATAAGATGGTAAGAAGTATGTCTATTTGAGTCACTGCTTTGTCCCTAGCACAAAACCTGACATATAATGGATGCTCAATATCTGATGAAATTAATGATTTAGTAAAATATATTTCCCTTCTCAATAATCTCCTGGGAAAGTCCTCAAAGATTATTCCATTTTTGAGTTCACTTTAGTGCTTACAATCTGCCTAATTTATTTAACATTTAGCATTATGTGTCATTAAATAGATAAGTCCTGTTTCTTCAGCTGCTGTGGAAATTATATCTAAATAAACCTTGCCATTGAAGTGTTTCAGAATGGTAGAGTGGAAGATCTTCTCCAAATTATATAGCATCCCCTCCATTCTGATTTGCCCTTCTTGGGCAGGTAAAGAGTGACAAGGAACATACAAATGAATCCCCTTTCCCTACAGATAACATCGTTTCATTGTGAGCTGGTGCTCCCGAAAGTTGGATGAACCAATCGATGTTCTAGTAGATTAGTGCATTTTAAAAAACATGGTTCAGAAGCACTAATATGTACTACTGCTGGATTAAGAGGCTGGTAACTAGGATTCTAGTTCACAGGAGTGCTTGACTAAGTCATGCTTCACCACACTTAGCCATCAATAAGCATGTTTCTTCATCTTTTAAATGAGAAAATTATAGATTTAAGGATATTAGAGCCCCAGGACCAGCTTATATACGTCTCAGTACACTACTCATAAAGTGCTCTAGAGGGAAAAATGATTTTTGTTGATATGGGTGATTCTATGTTAAAGGTAAAATCTGGCAAAGTTATACATTTTTGAGCATTAATCGCTCGCCTTCCAAAGAGTATCTAGAAATAGATTAGAGTAAAACTGCCTTTGTATACTCAGAGGACTATTCTGAAAATTAACAACTGGCCTTTCATCTCCTTCTTAGTTTTCTCATTTCCTTTACTTTTAAATTTTAAATAAAAAGAAAAGAGAAGTCATGACCATCATTTCCTTTGACATCAAAAATGGCATTTTAGAGAATCAGTGCAATGAGGAATAAGATTTTCAGATTTAGTTGCTTTCTATAAAGCATATTTAATGTCTTCTAACTGTATTTTGAGACTCAGGTAATAAAGATCACAAAAGATAAATTCGTAAATACCAAATCATGAGCTAGGGTACTAGACTAGTGCTTTTCACTCATTCTCAATTAATCCTCACTGCAACTCTAGCTAGCAGGAATGGTTATCTCCATTTTATTGGACATTCAGTAACGAGGTCACATACCTGTAAGTTGGTAAACAAATTTTATTTGAACACAGTCTTGTTTATTTATGTATTGTCTGTGACCACTTCTCAGCTACACTAGTAGAAAAGTAGTTATAATAGAGGCCATATGGCCCCAAAGCCTAAAAATAGTTACTACCTGGCTCTTCATAGAAAATGATAGCTGACCTGCCCCCAAGCCATTATATGTAGTATATTCTACTGCAGTACTCTGACATCTTTATAAATAAAAAAAATACCCTGTATTCAAATATCTTCAGAGGTCTATGCTTAACAGACAAACTCCTCAACTAAAAAAAGTTCCTCACAATATAAGCACTAACTTAAAACCAGAGCATTAATTGCTGCTATTCTCCTTTCTGCCATATACCCCAAACCTGCCCTATGCTTTCCTCCGTATAACCTCACTTATACAACTGTTACCTGCCTCTTTATCTCCCCCCCCCGCCCCACGGATGAGCTCTCCCTCTTAATTTCTACAATAATTTGTTCTTTTCTTGTAGCTCTTATAGTATGGTTTTATATTTTACCTTTTTTTTTTTTGGATTGCATTTAGTCAGAAATATGTTGAGTATCCTGTTGTATGGCAGCCTATTCTGGGGATAAATAGTTACATAACTCATAGCCTTCATTCTCAAATTATACTTTATCCTGCCCGCTGGAGTGTAAGAACCTGTAGGGATAACACCAAGTCTCGTTCATTTTTTAATGTGCTCAATAAATATCAGCAAATTTAAGCAGTAAATTTAGTAGTGTTCTTAATTATTCTCCACATTATTTCAAACCTTTCTTTAAATCACTTTAGTCTTTTAGAAGAAATCTTAATTTCTTATAATTAGATATCTGAAGAAAATATACTAGAATGGTTATCAATTTTTTAATTTTAGTGTGTCTATAAAATATAACCAATACATTTTTTAGTGACGAATTTGGAGTGTATCCTGGTTTAAGGGTTAAGTATATTGAAGTGTACTGCAGTGTACGTAAGGTGATCATTTTACATTAGTTTCCAAACTGTATGTTGTTTGTTCTAAACTCTCCTTTTGATAAGGATACTAAGAGCTTATAAAGTTAGGCCGAATGTGGTGGCTCACACCTGTAATCCTAGCACTCTGGGAGGCCAACGCAAAAGGATTGCTTGAGCTCAGTAGTTTGAGACCAGACTGAGCAGGAGCAAGATGCCATCATTGTAAAAACAGAAAAATTAGCTGGACACTGTGGTGGGTGCCTACAGTCCCAGCTACTAGGGAGAGTGAAGCCAGAGGATCACTTGAACCCAGGAGTTTTAGGCAGCTCTGACCTAGGCTGATACCACTCTAGCCTTGGGCAACAGAGAGAGAGACTGTGTCAAGAAAAAAAAAATACTGAAGTTAACAAAACAAGGCCTAGAGCAATCACATAGTTTCTGATAGGGCCCAAGTTTCTAGATTCTAAGTCCAATGTTGTTTTGTTGTGATACTGTGATGCTGGTAGATCTTAAAAATTAATCTAGACCTATATTGACAGTATAAACAGCCACTAGCTGTGTGACTCAAGCTCTTGAAATGTGTCTAATTAGAATTGAGATGTATTATAAGTGTAAAATACACAATGGATTTTCAAAGGTTTACTATGGAAAAACCATATTTTAATAATTTTTTATTACATGTTGAAATAATCCAGATGTATCGGGGTAGGTACACTATATAGCTAAAACTAATTTTACTTGTTTATTTTTGTAATATAGCTACAAAAATTTTAAATAATATATATAGTTCACATTTCTGTTGACAGCACTGATCCAGAATAATTAGCAATAACAGAATATGTATTAATATATGCATGTTCTATATATTTTATTATTCTCTAGTGAATATGAGAAATAGGATACTCTTATCCAACTTGGAAAATTTCAATTGTAAGGGTAT